AAAGAGGGGAGAAGCACTTTGGTTTTTAGTGCCCTCCCGCTTTTCCTTCCCCTTGGCTTGGCAGGGAAAGGCGCACGCAGCGCTGCCCCCACTGAGGCCCAAATACCCGCGCAGGGCCGCTGAGAACAGGCGAGAGGGAACGAAGGAAAGAAAGCGAGAGAGGGAGGGAGAGAGAGGGGTTGGGGCACGCCGCGGTCGGGCGGACACTTTTCTCTGCGAAACCCCGCTACCGCACCCTATACACACACGCACAGAGAGAGAGAGAGAGAGAGAGAGACAAAATATACTTTGTTTACCTCACACAACATGCCGATAAGAAGGAACTCGGGGTCCTCAGGGAGGAGGAAAAGTGTGGGGGAGCGCGCTTCCCAGTCCCAAACTGAGCCGGTGCCTCTTCCCCCTGCCAACAGCCTGCTACAGGAGTTGCTGATGGATCTTGGCCTCACCGAAACCGCTAAAACGCTGGAGGAGGAAAGTCGCCGACGACTCCAGAGTTTCGCTTGTCCTACCACGGAGCATGCAAAGCCATCCGGCAACAGCACACCGCCTTTAAGTTCTGGCCGTGCGGAAAACAAGGGCATCAACAGCAATATGAAAGCAGTCAAGGCCAAGTGGCACAACGGCAAGGATGGCAGTGGCAACGCGGCATGTGTGGCAGGTAATACCGAGAGCGAGGCCGATAAGCAGCTGCCTCCGTTGCCTCCAGATTTTTCTAGAATGGCGCTTTTTCGGTCTCTCATGCGTCGAAGCAATGAGGGTGGGGATGAAGCAACCAGTGTGGGTGCTCTTCAAGAGCTCTGCCACATAGGCATCTCTCCTCTCAGGTGGGGGGCGAGCCGGAACGCCGCTACCACGGATGGCAACGGCGGTGAGGAAAAGAAGCACAATAGCGTTGGCGGATTGATTACGCTGACGCCCTACTTGCGGAAGCTCTTCCACGTCTTTTTGGACGTTAATGGTTCTGAAGCCGAGCAGGGGGAGGAAGGAAGTGAAGCAACGTCGGAGAAGATCTTGCCTTTGGAATGGGCATCCTTTCTGGAAGTGTTTTTTGCGTACGTCGAAGTGCTGTGGACACAGGTTCACCTTGTAGAAGCTGTGTCGTGGGCAGACTTTACGTCCCAAGGGTGGCTTCGCCACCGGGACACTATTTTGGAGCGGCTTTCCCTGATGCACGAGAAGCTTCAACGGCTACTGCTGCATGCCCATCAGGTGGAAATTAATAGTGATGCTTTCGATCATTCTAACCCTTGCCAGGGTAAAAATCAGCAGGCACCCCAGCTGCCTGCTCGAGAAGGCACTAAATCTGACCCGTCACACTCGCGCGCAGAAGCGCAGGACGGGGCGGTGTCAATCAAGGATATACAAGGCGGGATTATTGCATTGTTTTGCCATGGTGCACCCATCTTCAGGAAAAATATAGAAGAAGTCTCTACATGGATCATAAGTCACTGTGGGCACCACAACAAAGGCCAAGACTCATATGATTTTTCAGAAGCAAAACTGAACGAACCCATCACTTGTACGGAAAGTTCTCCAGCGTCTTCTTCCGAGGAAAAGGAAGACGTGGAAGGAGGAGGGTCGGCGCGTAAGCCGTGGCAGAGGCTGATGGGTGTGGTGCGGCATGCAGTCCTTATGGGAGGAGAGGAAGTGTCGGAGTCAGCTCTCAACGCAGCGGGGAATTCATCGACGTCTAACCCCATACTTCGCTGGGCGCAAATGTTTCTTAGAATACAACTTCTTGCCTGGGTTGTTGGCTCTCTCGCCGAACTTTCCGACGTCCTCCTGCAGCACTCTCAGATGTCTACGCAAAGGCCGTCGTGTAAGATCGAGGGAGATCCACAACGGAAAAGTAATCAAGCTTGTCGGAGGTTCCCTACGGTGTCAGCTTCCTTAGGGCTTTGGTATCAAACCTGCGCCGCGCAGATTTTGGAGTTCAACGATGTAAACAAACGAAACTGCAAGGATTGCACGCCAGTTGCCGATAAAGGGCAGGAAAGCGGCTCAGTTCAGCGTTTACCACGCTCGCGTCGGGTCAAGGCGGCAGAGAAAGATGAAAACATTGGGTCGACGCTCGTGAATGCGCTTAAGCGAGCTGCACACGAATTCCTCGTGGGTGCACCAACATGGAGTGCCCCACTTCGTCTTTCACTTGTGGGAAATGAATTGCAGCACGAAACGAGTGAAAACTTGTCGAACTATAAGGGAATTCATGGAGAAACGCATTCCCCAGCATCTGGGAATCGTGGCAGAGATATTAATCTGGATGTTTTGGGTGCGTTGGCTACCGGGCAGCCGTATCACATGCGTCGGACTTCCACGCCGCGGCGTGTTCCACTGTATTTTCTCCTAAAGAGAATTCTGCGTGCACCAAGGACTCTTTTGGACCTTCAGAATGAGCGTGTGCCGATGGATATCCAGCTGGGATCCATGGAAAACCCGGTGGTGCACATGCGTTTGGCTAATTTGCAAGGCAATGGCGGGGCAAGAAAGGGCCTTCGTAACGGGGGCCGGGAAGGAGGAACGCAGAGTCAAGGGGCGGTAGGTGAACCTGTCACGGTGAGTACCTATGAGGGGGAAGTCGCAGTGTCAGGCGAGGCCACCCTAGGCCCCGTGGACCCGCTTCAATCTCTCTCGGATGGCACTGGAATCGGGGTCGATTTGCCAGGCGCCATGGAAGAACCCGTTGCACCTGCGTCCTCGTCTTTGCCGTCATTTCCGGTCCAGTTTCAGGCGCTGATGGACCGCGTGATGCATCCGACGAATGAGACGACGCAGTCCGAAGCGAGCGCCTCCGCCGCGTCCGATGAGGATGGCGTGAGTTCAACAGACTACAACCTTGATCGCCCAACAGATGTGGTGTTAAATGAAGTCCAGCTTGTTGCTGTGACGCCGTGCGGATCGCTCTTAGCCCTTTTAACGACAAAAGGGAGATTGGTCGTATTTGCGCTTCGCGCCGCAAAACATCTCGCCCACACAGACATTCATGAGCACGTCCAAGATGCATTTTGCGAGCGGCGTGTCCTGGATGTTGCCCTGGTGAAGGACTCGAAGGAACCCTACTGGTATGAGCAGCTGGAGTCGTTTCTTGCATTCTCTCCCTTCGGCCGGTTTCTTCTTTGCTCCGTGCAGAATGCCCCACCGTTTGTGCCGGAAGGCAATGAGACGAACCGCTCACATCATGCAACGACAGGTAAAGTGTTTATCTACTCACTGCACTGCCCAGACGATGGTCAAAGTGAGCCGTTGGATGTCGTAAGCCCCGTTTTTGGCGGCGATGAGGACCACCTCTACGGTGCGTTTCAAGTCCACAAAACTCTCATCACAGTCGCACGTTGGTTGGATCCTCGCTTTTGGCAAGGCACCGCACCCCCGCGCACCTGTGCAGCGGATAATGACACTCCTCTGTGGAAACGGGAGGCGCGGCGGCGCCTCTCTGCACTTCAGTGTCTTTCTACTGGCAGAGACAATCTCATTCTTCGCTGGTCGCCCGCAGATGGATCGATTATACAGAGCATCGCCACCCTTCCTGTATTTGATATCCTGGTCTCGCCGCTGATGCAGGCATTTTACACCATCAATCAATGCGGGCAGCTCTCTATGTACGACGCCTGGAATGAGCGCGACATTGAAAGTGCAAAGGACAATGTGGTCATTGTCTCCCAGCGTGGACTCCCTGTTGCACTCTCCGCTATGCAGTCGTCGGCTGAAATACGGGATGGGAGCTTCACGCAAAACTCAGCATTTCCTAGCCAAGATGGGGAAATGCAGGATACCTTTTTTGTGGGGACCCGCAGAATAGGTTTCGATCGACGCTCTTTGGCAGGCGGTGGAACAGAAAATGAATCTGCCATGTTGCGAATGTCGAGGATTGTGCAGGAGAGTGGACTTCCTGCAGGAAGCGAGACAACAGGGGGAAATCGGTTGGGTCGTCGTATCGTGCATCAGGTACTGCGCCAGGAGGGAGATTATCTTGGCTCGCATACGCTGGCTATGATGGAGCCTTCCTCTGACTCTGAGAGGGGCAATGAGTATCAAGACAACGACAGTGACGACGGCGAAGCCACCGGCGTTTACAACAGCCACCGTCAAGGAGGTGCGGACAGGAACGTGAATGCTGAGCCCAATCTCCTCTCGTTTCTTCGCGCACGTCATTCGAAGGGCGAGGGCAAGAAGGCACCCACGCTTCGTGGAGGGTCGCAGGGGTACGACGATGCCACTGTCGCTGGAGAAGCCGTTCTCTACCGTACAGGGTCCCGCTTAGTGTTTGAAGAAGTTTCACAGTTGCTGTGCCACAGTGTGCGTCTTTGGCCGGAAACTCAAGAAACCAGGTATGCCCCGCCACAGCAGCCCTATCAGCTGCTTAGTATGGAAGCCTCCGGTAATCCGGTTTGGAGTGACGCGGAGGATGCGAGTTCATTGGCGGGTGATGAGTTCATTTTTCATGAAACTCCACGGGCAGTCTCAAGTGCACCGTCCGCGCCTAGCTATTACACAGATCTCTGTAATACGCGGGCAAAGGAGGGCCACCACGGCAACGGCTACAGCATCAACAACGCCAGCCGCAGATGTCATAGAGGTACTGGCACCTCGCCTCAGAGAATAGAAAACTTGGGTGGAAGTTGCACTGTAGTGAACACTCATCCACAGCCAAAAGGGAATGTTGTCTTGTCTCCTGTTGCAAAAAATGGCCGCTACTTGTGTATTATGGCCTCCGTTGGGCCGAGCCGCGTCAGTGTTCCATATGAACGCCCCCTCGAATATCACGCAGGTATATATGCCTGTTTGGTGTTTGATGTGCTTTACGGTAGTGTTCTGCGTGTCATTCCTGTCTGTCCGGTCCTTCCACGAACGATGCTGACGGAGAATGGCATCTCGCACTTTCACTCCCACAGCAAGCGGGCCCCAATCTACATGCTGCCTTGCGCTGTCACAGTTGTGAGACATCCGCACCGGCGGCGCTCAGAGGCACCTCCATCTTCTCTCTCAGCAACTAGGCGAGGGAGTTGTAGTCCTCTGGAAGCCACGCCCAGTTTAAGTTGCCTGCGCCACGCGCAGGAAGGAGACGAAGAAGAGGCGGCGATGGAATCCAACGACGAGAATGACCATGAGCATCGCAACAGTGTCAGGGGGGATGACGAAGATTCAATGGTGCTTGTCGCAGTCGGTGGCCTGCATAGCACAACGTACGTTTTCGATGCCCTAACAGGGGCGCGTGTGAAGGTGGTGAGTTTGCGAAAGCAAGCGGATGCCAAGAACGCACTGACGTCTACCCAAACTCGGCCTCCGACTAAACGGGCACGCAGCTCTTACGTTTCTCTGGTTGGCATTGGTGACTTCAGTGGTCGTTCTTTACGCGGGGAGAGCGGAGCCAACGACAACGACGAAGACGTCGACGACCAGGATAATCAAATGGACGGTGCAAGCAGTACAACCTCCAGCGAAGTAATCTCGCCACGTGGCGAGGAGCAGTATGGCTATCAACGCCAATTACTGCTGAGTCATTTGGTGGAAAGGCACGGCATGGACACCCTGTTGAAGGCCGCGACGCGGTTGCTGCGGGTTGTTCCTCTTCCCTTCCCTCCATTCTGTGAGACGCCCCAGGAAGACGGCACCCGGCGTCCTCGCGACGATCCACAAGGCAACGGCTTTGCGCAACGGCAAAGCGGTGTCGGTGCTGGTGGTGGTGGTGGTGGTGGTGGCGATTCAAGTAGCGCTGCTTCTTTTTCCTCTTCTTCTGTGCCATTTTCGACAACGATGTTGCCCTGTCCCTCGTTTCTGGGTCAGCTGCAGTTGGCAGCCGAAGGCGTTTCTGGGGCGAATGGGTTTCACTCTGGCGCCTCCCGCTGCGATGGTGAGGGAGGGGTCAGTGGTGCCACCCCTTTGCACGATATGCCTTTTGCCCACCTTGCCCAGAGAGAACTGCGTCACATCTTGTTTTTGAACGAGACCCCAGTGCCCGTGGAAGAGAATGGGTTGCCTTCTACAGGCGGTGTTGCTGGTGCCGCCTTGGCCGTCGCTGCGACCGCCTCTATGAGGATTGCATCAAAGCCGCAGAAACGCTTTCGTTGCGGAGTTGTAAATAGCGTGGCGGTGTTCTGCGACCCTGTAAAGGGTGGAGTGTTTGTGTTTTCCAGTGACGAGTACGGTGGCCTCTTCATGGCGGGCGGCTTGCTTCCGCCCCGCGGCTAAACGAAGTAGGGCATGCAAGTGGTGAAGGAATTCGTGTTGACGCAAACGTGGGCTGAGGCACGAGAATGCCTGCCACTTTTTTTTTGTTTCTTGTTGTGGGTTTTTTTTCTTTTTTCGCATCTTCTTATTTTTGTGTGGATTTCCGTCGCTGCGGTTGTTTGTGCTTTTTTTTTCCACGCAGCGTTACGTGCCGCGGGGCTTTTGTGTGTTTGTGTATGCGTTGTTGTTGTTGTTGTTGCTTTTCTCTTGCAGTGCTGCGTGGATTTTCCGTGCGACGAAACAAACTGAGTTGGCAACAGCACCGGCATGTGTCGGCGACATCTTCGTCTTTGCCGAGCCCGATGCTTCTCCGCATGTGTCTGCGTGGATGCATCTCAGCCTCCCTGTGCAGATGCGTCCCCCACCCTACACCGTTCTGGAGAGAAAATGGTTGGGGTTGTAGGACACGGCGGGGGCCAAGCCGTTTTACTGCCATGTATTTAGTTGTATGTGTTTTTCATTCCACCGCATCGATGTCTGGCCTCAGTGGCGCAGCGCCACCAACGAGGCCGTTCGCAGATGGCGAAATGAAAAACACATGGACACAAAAGGTAACCGAAGAGTACGAGGAAGGGAAAAGGGGGGAACAAAAAGGAGGGGGAGTACAGTTAAACCAAAAGTGTGGCTAGAGTGACAAGGGATACTTTCCCTAACTGGTGCGATGATGTTGTTTTTGTTTTGCTTTCATCAGCGACTGTGATTGCGTTTCTTCCTGTGCGTTCATTGTGTCAGGGGGCGGTGAGGAGGTGTCTGTTCAACCGCGGTGTTGAAGGCTTAGGCGAGCAGGCCCTCATGCGGACACGTTAGATTCTTAAAAAGGAACCGTCTCTCTCGCTTTCTTTCCTCCTCTCTCGAGGTCGTTTTTTTTTCTTCTTCTTCTGTTTTGGTGCGACGTAATGATGATGAAGCGGTGCCGGTGCGTGGGGGGGTGCGTGTTGCTCCGTGACGCACGTGTGTGAGCGCACTCGCCCAATGCCCAATGCCCAATGCCCCCTGCTCCCCCGCCCGCAAGAAGCGTGCTCCTCTGTCCTCGCATACCAGTTTTTTTTGTTTTTCCTTCTTCCCGTTACTGTTATTAGTTTCCCTCTTGCCGCTTTTTGCACGCATTGCTACAGGTCGACTTCACCGGTTTCTTCGCGCTTTGTTTTCTTCTGTTTTTTTTTGTTTCTTTCTTTCCTTCTCTGCATAACCTCCGCCTCCTCCGCTGTGGGTTGGAGTTGCCGGAACGAGGCAAAGGGGGAAGGAGGGAGGGGCGCGCGAGGGTCGGAGGAAAAACCGACGGAGCGGGTGACGGCAAAGTCGAACGTTTCACTCCTGCCACGGCAATGGGGCGATGAAAGTGTCCTGCGTCCCTACATGTCCCCTGCTGCGCCTCCCCGGTGCCTTGCCCAGATCCCTCTCAGCATGGTTTCGTTGCTTGCCGTTCTTCTCTTTTGTCTTTTTTTTGTGCGGAAGGCCTCCCTCGCAGCACCACACACTTGTATAGGGACAAAAAAGGAGGTGGGGGTGGGGCCTGCAAGCGATGCGGGAAAGCAGAGGCGATGGCCTTGGTGCGAGGAGTCACGCCGGTCGCAACCCTCCTATGTTTCACTCGGTGCTTCCGATCCATTTGCTGCTCCTCTTTGGGCTGGCGATGCCGTGCAGCGGAGCGGAGGTGGGGAGCACGCGGAAGCTGCTCACTATGGGGCTTGTTGCCGACACCCACTACGACACCTTTCCGGCGGGTGAGAAGGCGCCGTGGGAGACGATGCAGCATTGGCTGCGTGAGCAGCGCAAGCGGACGACGACGACGACCCTGCGCCGCTACGATGTTGCGAAGGACAAGCTCGACGAGGCCATTGCGCTCTTTAATCGTGTTCCAGACATGAATGTGGTTGTGAATCTGGGGGACCTTGTCAACAACGACTTGATGTGGAACTTGCGGCCCATTTTGGACAGTTTTAACCGGGCTAAGGCACCACACTACAGTGTTTTAGGCAACCACGACCTTCGTGCCCACAATGACCGCTTTGGAAAACTCAATAAGACACAGAACGAGTGGCTTATGAGGAAAATGGGCCTGCGTCGCTGGCATTACGCAATTGACCACCCACCATTTCGTTTTATTTTTATAGATTCCATGGCAAACGATCCTGAAAATAACAACATGACCACAAAAGAGGCACACACAAAGTGGCTGGAGGAAGAACTCCGGGCAGTCAAGGTTGCTGGTCGCGTGGCAATTTTGTTCGCTCATGTTCCCATTGGATTTGAAACAAATCGACTAGGTCCGCTCTTGGAAGCGTACGAGCAGATGCCATTGGTGTTTTCTGGGCACAACCACAAGGGGGACTACACGGTCCAGGGGGCGCACCGCGTGCACTGTGTCACGCTGGAGGGACAAATTGAAACCCTGACCAATGCGTTTGCAGTGGTGGAAGTTTTTGAAGATCGTGCGGAGTTGACAGGGTTTGGCCGTGTTCCGTCACGCATTTTGCGCTTTCAACCTCACGTGGTGAAGCTGCTTCAGGAGTACCATGGGCCGCTGCGGCATAATTTGTCGGCGCAGGGATGTCAACCCCCTCCGTCCGATGAGCTCTGGGCGGGCGAGGTGCTGCAGCAGCCACCGACGCTGCAACTGAACATCCCACATTACAGGAAGCCGGCGCTTCCGCCAGCGTTGGTGCAATCCTCTCCGAGAACTCGTTTCTACGATTTGCTGAGGACTCTGACCACAAAAACGACGCATAGCATTCGTGGCCCGGAGGAACCCGTAGATCTTACTTCCGCCACAGAGCGGCGCACACTACTTATCAATGGCACACACGTCATTAGAGAGACTTCTGTAGCCGTCCTCCAAACTTCTGCTTCTGGCGCGAATTCTGTGATTCGTGGCAAAGACGGGCTCCAGGCAACAAAACGAGCTCACCCAGAGAGTGTGCAGGCGGACACTCCATGGGAGAAGGAATGGATTCTTTTCTCTGTTGTATGGTTCTTTTTGCTGGCGTTTGCCCTTGTGCTGTTGTGGAGAGTCAAGCGGAAGCGCCACACAGGGCGCAGAACGTGAGTTTGTATATATATACAGGAACGCCGGGGGGAAAAAAAAGAGCGCATTCCCCTTATTCTACGGCTTGCGCTTTTTTTTGCAGATTGGTTTGGTTTTATTTCTTCTTTACTATACCGCGTTGAAAGGCAGCGCAGGTGCAGTTTATATATATATATATATAATATATCTCCCTCTTTCGACCTCATGCTACTCTTCACGTGGAAAGGAGTGACGGCTGCGAGGCCCGATCGATCCCCGCTTCGCAGCTTCCCAATGAGTATATTTTTTGCACAACGTCGTTTAAGTTTAGTTGATTGTTGCTGCATGACTGCTGGATCAGTCTCCTTCGTGAGGGAATGAAGAGGCGACGGGCGAAGTGGGCTAAGTTGCGCTTGACTCTCTTTACTTGTGCGCGTACTCTCTTTTGTAGGAATAGGAGGGACAAGGTCTCAGCCGCCCTGCAGCTTTGAATTCCCTTTTCAACCGCATACCAAGGTCGAGCCAGCGCAGGTGCCAATATTAGCACAAGACCAATGCAATTATGCGTACGCGCGTGGATCGTTCCGTTGACGTCTACATTGCCCTGCACCCGTGCGTCGCAGATGGTTTGGAGGAAACAACCGGCAGCGCGTGTTGTGCCAGTGATAGGGCGCAAGAGGAAGTCCCTGGAGGCATGACTCACGGCAACAGGATGCCGTGCATAGTACTGCCTTCTTCTTTGCAACTTCAGGGAAGCGGAACACATATCCTGTTTCACAATGGCTGTATTGGACATCGGTCCATCGCGGCGTCGCTGGGTGGCGCGGCGTGGGACGAGTTACGGCGGAGTGGCACTGTTTGGTTTCTCTCCTGCGTTCCCCCCAATCTTTCTGCAGAGGGTGAACGTGAGGCCTTGGGTGGACTGGGCGGCGTGGAGGCAGCCATGCTGGATGACTTGACAGGACGGGTGCTACAAGTTGCCTCCGCGCCCCTGACAGTGTCGTTAATACAGTGGAGGGAGGGAGGGGCTGTGTCCCATGCGGCGGACGCAGATGAACCGCCCTGGCGCCACTCGAGTCAAAGCAGCGGCCACTTTGCAGATAAGCGTGCGGTGGTGGAATTTGTGAAGGAGGGCGTAATGGAAAAGGAACGAGAAACAGCAACGTTTTGCTTTCATTTGGTAAGCATTACATTTTTTGATCCCAAGTCTGCACGCACCTGTGAGATTGTGCTGGCGGGTGTAAAAGCGTCTTTTGAGGCCTTGTCCACAGCCACCTCCCGAGCCCTCGTCGCGGTGCGCTGTTGCTTCGCGAATGCGGCTTCCACCTCTCTGGGAGAAGCACAGCCCCACGGCCCCAGCAGTAATTTTCTTTCCGAGCCCAACGCATGGGTTTCACAAATTTTACCAAAAGAAATTGTTCGTTTTCTTGTCGCACGACGCTCTTCCTCCAAGGAGGGAGAGGGAGAGGCAGTGGGGGCGGCGGCGCGCGAAGAAGGGGCTGGTCACGTGGGTTTGCCGCCAGTACGAGTGGTGTACGCCGTTCTGGAGGTGGATGAGAAGGCGCTTCTCCACCGGGAAAAGGGGGCGCGCGCCGACCACAGTGCATTCGTGCCAATCCTGCGATATCTCTTCTTTTGGTGCCCGCTGGGGGCTCTCGTGGTGGGTGATGACGTTGATGGGGGTTGTGACGGCGCCGACCGTCGTGACAACAACGCCGGGACCGGCACCCAAGGTGAGACACACGGCATGGATACACCGCAAAGACCCGCTCATGAGGCAGGCAAGTCGAAAGGGTGGCTACAGCAGCTGCTGATCGATCCCTTGATTTTTTCCCGGCTAACGGAGGACTGTCGTGATGGAAGTAGCGAGATGATCTGCTCCAAGGGGCGCCTTCTCGCTGCTCTTGAGTACTCGCACCATGTAGCAAACTGGGCGAGGGAGAAGGGGCTGCAGCGACGGGTGCGACGTCTTATTTCGTCTGCAACGCATCCAAGTACATCTGTCGTCGATGTGCTGAGTTTTTTTAGCGCGGAAAGTGACGCAGTTACGTGGTGTCAGCGGCTTGAGTGGCAGTATTACACCATGCTTGGGGATCTTTTTGCGGCGGACGCGACTCCGTCAAGGTGTCTTCTCGCAATTGCGCACCAGCAGCATCGTGAAGCTTCCGTTCAGTGTCCAGAAGTACCGGAAACACTGGACAGAGAAAGCGAAAGAGAAAGGATGCCATTGTGGCATGAAAAGTGTCGTGAAGGCCCTCTGGAGCCTCCTTCAGCGGCTATTACCAGCATGGAGCCCCGTGTATTATCTTTGCCGTCTGAGGAGTCAAGTTCGCCGGGGGCCGATTTGCTAACACACGGACGAAGGCTGCCGTCGTTGTTAGTGTCTTCTCGCGATCTGCCGCACCGCTTGAGTGAAGCTGAGGCCGTTCGAAGACTTCTGATTAAGCTCCGTGCTGCAGAGTCCATGGAGTCCATACTGGTTTCTCTTGCGGCTCAGTGGCAAAGTTGTTGCGCGAAACAAATGAATTCCCCCGGAACACTGCAGCTCACTAAGGGGGAGGACGAGGACGAGGAGGTAGAAGAGGCAGGGCAGCATGGTTCACTTGGACGTCACGGCGAACTCTATGCTCAGTTGGAGTTGCTACAAGGATATGCCAATGTGCTGGAGGACGTCTTCTTCTCCTTTCTGCTGGACAATGTCGAAGAAAAGTTCGCATGCTTTATGGCAGCTGCCGCTGCTCAGACGCGCGAAACCAAAATGCCCGCGATCTCTGCTTCCCCCTCCAACCTCATGGATACTGCCGTGCAGGCGACCGTGCCACCTAATGAACAGCCGTCGAAGCTCATGGGTGTCAACTTCCCCGGTTCGGAGCCATACATTCCTTTGGCAAATGAAGAGTCGCGTCAGCCGTTATCGGCTGAGGTGTCATCGACGACGATGTCAGTCTGCCCGTTCGAGGACGGAGGCTTTGCCGTGCAGCGGCGACCTAGCGAGGATGGTGATGCACCACCGACGATGGAGGAAGACACCCTGAGTGAGTCATTTCCTCGTACTGCAGAAGCAGCAGCGAACGACCGCGGCGCAGATGGTAGTACCGTTTTGAGGGATGACTGTCGGGCGCCGATGACAGGGAGGGGGACGGTGATCTCCTCTTGCCTGGATCGTGGCTGCCCCAACGAAGACAAGCCGAATAGGATTTTAGCTCGGCATCGTCATCGGCTCTGTCGAGCCCACGCACGCGGTTCCGTGCAGGATCCGCTCTATCGGCGACTACTCTCTACGGGAGGCGTCAATAATGTTGCGGACGGTCGAGTTACGCGCAACGGGCCAATACCCGCCCTAAGTTTTTCTGCTATTACGGAGGAGAGCGCAGGTTGGTCCGAAACGCGGGACCTCGATGACTTCAGGAAGCTGTTGGCGTACAGTATTTACGTGGTGGGGGCGGCAGGCTCTGGAAAAACGAGTTTGATATGCGCACTGTTGCGTGAGGCGTCCCCGGTCGCCCCTTCTCCAACGCTGGAGTTGCACACAATGAAGATTCGGCGGACATCAACCGTTGTTGAGGTGCCCCTTCCGAGGGACCCGCTGCCTCTGGGTGGCCACCGCAATGCTACGGCGTCCAACCTGCGGCGGTGGCTGGCCGCTGGTGATGAGGGAGACACGGCGCCTTCTCGGGTTGGCGTGAACCTTGTGGAGTTGCCGAGTCCTTTTTTACTTGCGGCAAGCATGGGACGCGTGAAGCTGCCAAGCCGAGGGGTTGTGTATTACGTTACCTATCGTCTGCGGGAGGACTGGGAACTGGCGCAGGAAGCGATATGGCGGCATGTGCTTACGCTGCAGCACGCTGTGGCGATGCCAAGTTTACATGTTGCCCGTGTGCGGAGAGGCGACGCGGACAGCGCGGCGGCAGACTCAGGTGGGGAGGCGTTGTATTTGCCGGTGGTGTTGGTCGGCACCCACGCAGATCCCTTCTCCGACGCCCTTTTTACGGAACAGTCTGCGGCGGCGCAAGAGCACTTGGATCGCCTTCGGCGGTGGTTCGAGCAACGGGTTGGGCAGCAGCAGACATCAGCCGAAAAGAAAAATCTCCTGCCGCGGCCGCTACTAGTCGATTGCTGCCTCACAAACACGTCCAACTTCCTATTTCTCTCTGAAAACTCGAAGCACAAGGCGGCGTTTCAGACGCTTTTTCATAGAACGCTGAGTTTTCTTCACCACACTGCGCCATTGAGTCCATGGCACCTCTTGGCACGGTGGCTTCCCCAGCGCCTGCTCTTCCCACGTGGAACTTCTCTTGAGGCGGTCAGTGTAGCCGCCGAGGCGACGAAGTTGGCAGGGGGGGACGTGCGTGTGATGGCGAATGGGACGCTTGATGGGTTTTGGGAGTGTCAACGCCACCGTGGTGAAGCTGCCGCGGCGATGGAAAACCAGCACCGCGAAGAAGCCCACGACGATGGCGGGGCGCGCCAGATCCCTCTCACTCGCCCCATCTCCCCGCATACACTAGGGTTGTGGTGGTGCCGTAGTTCAGCGGGGCTCCTCGTTCTCTTTACCGCCCTCCAACGGCTACGGCAATTTGTTTCTTGCTGCTTTGACGAGCAATCCTTGGATAACGCGGTGCTGTACCACCTGGGCTTTGTCCGTCCAGATGACCCCGATGAAGCGGAAGCGGGTGATGCGAAGGAGCGCTTCCTGTCTGAGAGGGATGTGTTTCTGGAGGCGCTACTGGAAGAGTGTCGGCTTCGCGGCGTGCTCTGGTTCCTTTCCTGCCCTCCATCTCAGTTCCTGCAGGAGAGTGAGTGCGGGAGTGAAGTGCGTTGTGCTCACCACCCACCGTCCTTCTCGGGGCCGCCGCCGCCGCCGCCGCCTCAGCAGCTGCGCATGGTGCTTATTGGTCCAGAGTGGGTGGAGAACATCTGGTCCAAAACGTTGGCGCCGCAAATGGTGGTGCACCACACCACGTCTCTTTTACGCGCTTCTGACAGCATCCTAACGGATGCCTTGAGTACTGTCTGTGGGTATTGCGAGGAACAGCTGGGCGTCGCATTTACCGCAGCATACTTTGCGGCAGTGTGGCCGCATTTGTCGCAGCCTTTGCCGACGGCCGCTGCAGAGGCCTCTGCTGGCACTGTGGACGAGATGTGTGAAACTTTCTATCAGTACCTCACACGAGGCTCTGTTTCGCTGGCGCTGCTGCACTTATTATGGGGTCCACCGTATAACACTCTTGCCAAGAATGAATTGAGTGCTGGAATGGCTCTTGTGGGGAGTGGATTGGCAGTCAGAAAGGCGAGGAATGAACGCGGGGAACCAAATCCTGGTGCTCAAAGTTGGCTCATGCAGTTGCATCTGCCATGCGCTGTGGTGTCGGCCGGCAGTTTGTTAGGTGCACATGGAGACGAAAACTAAGGAAGTGAGCTATCGTTTTTGTTGTTATTTTTATCGGTATTTTTATTTTGGTCATCCACTTTACGTGAGACGACCCCCCGAACTAATTCCTTCATGACGTTTCTTCTTCGGTTGAGGTGTGAAATATTGTTTGCTTGTTTTTTTTTTCCTTTCGTGTGTTTGTGGTTGGCCCGCTGCTTTTGCGCGGTGGCCGCTGTGCCGCTGGCGGGGCGGGTAGCGGCGTAAAGAGCGTGGGAGGGAGCGGGCGCCCTCTGCCCCTGTGGGTGCGGGCCACACTCTCCAGTGCTTCCACGTCCACGGAGACACACACGCACATACATACTCTCTCTCTCTTTCTCCTTTTTGATTTTGTTTTGTTTTTTTGCTGCTGTTCTTTATGTGCGACGTTTTTCTCTTGCTTCTTCTTTTCGAGGATCTCACTGTGAGTTTATCTCGTTTTTTCCCCCGTTTTTTTGTGTTTTGTTTTTTGGCCCTTTTACTTCTTGCCAGGAGATTGTCCGAGATGATGTCGTGCCGCGGCGGTCCCTCCGACTACGTGGGCGCCCTCGTGCTGGAGATCGCCAAACTCATGGAGGAGAGGGCCTACAGGCGTCACCTGCAGCCCTGCTTGACGGCGAGGCAGCGGGCGCACCTTTGGGCGTTGCGGAGTCAGGCGCTATTTGGCGACGCACCCACTGACGGCGAGGGCCCGGCCCCCAACGGGCAAGGGAAACGCGGGGAAACGACGCAGCAGCAAGTGACCTCCACGAAGGTGACGGAGGTGGAAAAGGTGAACGTGCCCCAACGGCCACCCCATTGGTATCAGTTCACAATGCGTTTTTATTACTCGGCGTGGGTTGCGCTGCGGGGGACGATGACGCCGCAGCTTGCCGGTGAGGCTCTCTGCACCGAGTTTTTCTACCTGCTCAAGGTGCATAAGGTCCCTGCCATGCTGCCTCTCATGGAGGCCGCCGTCAACGCCGCCCGCGCAAAGGCAGTCACCTCCAATTTTGCAGCGAAGGAACGTGACAGTTTTGGGGATGGTAGCAGCACCCATAACCCCGTGAGGCCTGGTGACGGTTTTTACGTTCGCGGATTTCACGGGGACCCTGTCGTGATTGCGTTTCTCTGGCTCTGCCGGGCTCAATCGATCCCGTGTGAGGTGGAGTTTGAGCCGCTCTCGTTGAACCTGTCAGAGGGCGAGGAGGATCTTTTTCTTGTCAAGTCCTTGGCCCAAAATGCTGTGACGACTGAGCCTTTGGCGGCATTTGTGCTGTGTGTTGAATTGTATCTGCCGCAAATTGGCCATTGGCTAGGGGCAACCTCTCCCAGCTTGGCGTCGTCACCCCACACAACGCGTGCGTTGCAGAAAAGTGCCTGGTTAGAGTATATGCACCACGTCTTGGTATATCTTCGAGCCCCATTGCTGCGTTTTATGCGGGAAGTGGCTAGACAAGAGACGCAGTGTGCGTCACCGCAAGGAAAACCGCCCTCAAAGCCGCGTACAGGTGGCAAGGCGGATGCGTCTGAGGCCTTGCAACGGCGTCGAGAGCTGTCTAAGGTGGCTATGAAATCACTAGCACTTTATGAACGATTTGCCCATCACTACTATGCAACCAATCCACAGACGATAGTGTCCGTGGCAGAGTTGTGTGTGGCGGCCTACAGTTTTGTTGTCTGTACGAGTCCGCTTTGTAACGAGTTGTTCCCTCCACTTGAGGCAGTGTCATCGGCCCTGGGTCAAACTGGAGTGCACGTGGCCGTACCATGCGGTTACCGTGTTTCGCCTTATAGAGGCGGTCAGGTGAATGACTCGGTGGCGGTGCCCTCGCGGGATACGATGGCGTTGCTTAGCGGAGTCCCGACGCCCTACCGGGATCTCGCGACACGCATCTTGCACGGTGCCGTCTCCCTGCACTCCCCCTCCGTTACGGTTTGCATTGGTGCAGATGGTGAAGGCTACAAAAGTAAACATTTGGGAACAAAGAAATCGGCCTCTTCGAGCGACTGGCTCCTTCGCCTCGATTCGGCCTGGGATGGGGTCGCCCCAGGTGCGAATGAAGCTGCTATGCTTGTTATTGATCAATTGATTAAACTCACGTGCGCCCCGCTTTGGCAAAGTCTTGCCGAGACACTTTCGCAGGCATGGTGCACCGCCAACGAACAGTGCATCGGTTTCCCGTTCCTCTTACTGGATAAGGAGCAACGTAATTTCGTCACGACGCCCACCGCCCACCCTGCCTCTGTGCCACGCCATGAAGCACCGTGGAAGGAGGGTAAGGCGGCGGCGGTGGCTCGCGCGTACTGGTTAAAGTTGCGCGCCGCATTTGGTGCATCCGAGTCATCCTCTGAACGCAGGACTTACCGAAGCTCCGCAGCGAAGCTATAAAATTTTGGCAATGGCTGCTGTGACTGACTGGTGTTGCTGTTATCATTATTTTTCTGGTAGTTGCAATTTTTTTTTGGGGGGTCGCGATCTTGCATTTGTTAGGATAGTTGGGTGTGTGCACCACCGCAGGGCCTCAGCGAGGAAATAAAAAGACGCATTGTTTATCTGTGGAAGGGCCATTAGAGGGATGGAGGGGACACAATCCGCACGTCCCTGCCATCATACAAAGGAAGTCATTCTGAGCTGTTTTCTTTTTGTGGGTTGTTGTTGTTGTTCATTCGCTCCCTTTTCGCTGCGTCCGCCTCCCTGCTCAGCCCCGCCGAGTGGCGGCTTATTTTCTACTCCAACTGATTGGCGCTTCCCCTTTCG